AGCATACGGGTGCATGGAGTCTTCTGTCATTGGGCTTAAGTAAGCACTGTAGAACAGCTCTTCAGCTCATTGGAAGGCTTCATACCTCTCCTCTACCCCATAGAAGTTGCCTGCTATTTGGGCTGGTGTCTGGGCCCCCAAATTTGATCTTCCATGAGTAAGGCCTTTTATACACCCTCCATGCTGCAGTGAATTTTGCCTTGATTTCAAATGCTATTATTTAGTGACACAAAGGTAGGTTGGACTAGAGATTTAACCTAAGTCTGTTTTAAGATTATGACCTCTAGCCATTAGAAAGGTGCATTGTGAACATTTTTTGGAATGGTAATATCCATAAAATATGTGACAGTGGATCTGGTTTCTTGGCAGCTCCAAGTATTGCTCAGTGCAAACAGAAATCCTGCAGTACTAACATGAATTCTAAAAGGAACACCGCAGCTACTTTACCCATAGACATAATTTGAAGAATAAAAACTCAGTCGGGAGATATTGGAGGTTTAGACATTTGTCTGTGTCTAGGTCTTTCTCATATGTGTGAGTGTATGTGTGTATGATAAAACTGATATAATCAATATAAAAGATTATATTGATTTAGCTGGCTTTGTGGCCATGCACAGCAGTGCCAGTTGGGAACCATAAATTCTGGGCACAGATGGAAGGTTTCAGGTTTATTCCAAGCTATTACTAGATCCAAATGCCTTATGGATCCCATGCATAACACTGATTCTTTGGAAAGGGAATCTGGATTGCTTTGTGCCAATCTGCAGAACCAATGTTGGCAAGCAGAATGTCCATATGCCTGCTCTCTGAGGTATAAGAAAAGATTGGTGCTGTGTGTAATGCTCAGCAAGCACCCAGTCATTTGGTTTGTCAGGAGGAGGAGGCAGATCACTGGATATTAACTGCATGGGAGAATCCAACTGCACTGACTGCTCAGACTGCTCAAAAAGTAATTCACATTTGGCATGACCAGAGAATTAACATATAACCATTTAAGCCCCACCCACCCACTCCAATCTTGGGACTGAGATGATAAGGTGCCCCCCTCCCCACCTCCATGCTGCTGTGCCCAAGTTTTCAGACAGATCTCAAAAGTAGTAGTGGGGGTAGAGTGGAGCCTGCCCAGGGTATCCTTATTGGCTCTGTTCCAGGTTTGGAGGATGTAAAGCAGG